AACAACAACAACAACAACAACATAGGATTCTTGGTTGGAAGTTCTTTTTCTTCAGTGTTTTATATATACCATCCCATTGCCTTCTTGCCTGCATGATTTCTGCTGAGTAATCATAGCTCAGCCTGTTTGATTATTATAAGTAATATTTCTTTTGTCCCGGGCAGCTCTCAAAATTTTTTCTTTGTCTTTGGTTTTGGAGAGTTTGATTATAATATGCCTCAGTGTTTTTCTCTTGGGATCTATCTTGTGTGGGGTTCTATGAGCTTCGTGGACAAATATCTTTTCTTCTTTCATGATATGGGGGAAGTTTTTTGTTAGCAGGTCTTCCATAATTTTTTCAGTGTTTTTTCTTCACCTCTTCTTATTCTGGAATTCCAATGAGTCTTATGTGGTTTTTTCTCATGTCATCCCATATAATTCTTAGGTTCTCTTCATTTATTTCTCTTAAATCTTTGTTCTGATTTTTCTTCATACAGGCTGGTGTCCGGGGATTTGTCTTCTAGTTGGGATATGCATACTTCAGCCAATTCTAACCTACTCTTTTGTGCTTCTACTGTGTTGTGTAGTTCTGTAATTTTGGTAGTCATCTTCTGGATTTCTAACTGCTGTTTTTGTATGAGTTTTTATTGTGCATTAATCTTATTATGTTGCTCTTGAATGACTTTCCTGAGTTCTTCCAGGGAACTGTCTGTGTTCTCCTTGCTTCTGTTTGGGGTTTCCTTAGGCTCTTGTAAAGCTCTATAAACATATCTTCTAAATTCCTTCTCAGATACTTCCATTGCTTCCTCCTTCCTCCATGTTTAATGAGACTTTTTTTTTTTTGTGGTTTCGCTTCTAATGCCTTGTCCTGTTTTTTTTTTTTTGATTTGAGGTTGCCTGTTGTTTCCTAGACATTTTAGGTTGTCTTTAACTGTTGGTTATGCATTGATTTGTTTTGTCTTGGTTTCATGGTTTAATATTTTTAAAAGGTAAAGCTGGTGTATTTTATTTTTTTAGTTATTAATTCAGGTATGCTGGGTTGCTCTGCAGTTTTCTTTGTGATAGTGGAATCACTGTGTGGAATGTGGATATGGGTTTCTGTTTGTCATAAAGAGGGTTTAGAGTCTGAACCAGGACATTTTATGGTGGCTGAATGTGGTTTCTTCTATTGGATGGGTGAAGTTATTGGTGGAGAAGGTGGGAGCAGAAGAAGGAAAGCTCACTGTTGCTAGGGGTGGTTTCTTGGGCTTTGAGCAGGCTGCTACTGATGACATTGTACTGTTATTCACAGGCCTGCACCTTAATTTCAGCAAAGACTCCAGTTGTTAGGGGGTTGCCACTTTCCACCAGGCTCAGACACACTCAAAAACCCTAGTCCCAAGGCCTCTTGATGCCAAAAAGCCAACCCAAGACAACTTTCCGGCTCCGTGATCTGTTGTGGGGGTTTCTCTGTCTGGGTCCGCCTGCCCGTGGCACCAGCCCAACTGGCCCAGACTGTGATATGTCTCGGGGGTTCCTCTGTGGGTCCGCCCACCTGCGGTGCCAAAGACCTGCTCAGTTTCAGCGGCGCTGGAGTCAGGAGAGTGCCTGCTAGTCATCTGTGGTCCCAATATTACTGATAAAGTCAAGCTCAGGCCTCTCAGTTCCACTAAGCTGACCCAAGCCTACTCGGTGACCCACTGTGGGGATACCTCCCTGGGCCCACCCTCCTGTAGCACCAATAGACTCTCTGCTCAGGTTTCAGTGGCACTGGATGTGCCCATTTACACCTAGCTGACCCAAGTTACCGATAAAATCATCCTCGTGGTGATCACTGGTATGCTGGTGTGGTCACTGTTATGCTGGTATGGTGTGTCTTCTTCCTTAACCCAAGGAGGTCTCAGATGGCCGTTCTTGCCTGCCAGTCGGCGCTCCCCCAGAGAAGTCTCTGAAGGCCTTTCTTGGTTGCCTGTCAGTACTCCGCAGGATAGATCTTCTGATCTTGTTATTTTTTTCCCTGTCCCTTTCTCCTTTCTAATTCTACTCCTCTGAGTTTGGTGCACTCTGACTCAGTGAGCTGTTCAGAGTACCAGAATCCATAATTCAAACTGCTGAACCTAGTTTTTCAAGCACTGAGATGCTAGAGGGAAATAGCGTGGCGATTACGATGAGAAACCATTTTGAATCTCCTCCTTTTACTTCTTTAGCAGACACACTGCTTTCCTTCAGTGAACCCACTTCTAACATGTGGATGATAGTTATGGATTAAATTGTGCACCTCCAAAATGTGTTTTGGTATCCTAAACCCTATACCTGTGTATATAATCTAATATAATTACCATACATCTAATGAAATATAATGCACCTTCCATAATGCAATCTAATGTAATGCAATCAATCCATCAGTTGAGGTCATACCAGTATAGGGTAGATTCTAAACCTCATCATTTCTTTTTAATAAAGAGTTAAATAAGTAGCACCCTGGATGCAGAGACAGATACACAAAGACACTTCGAAAGATAGCCATGATCTGATGATGATGGAGGCAAATAAAGCTGCCCAGGATCTCCAAGAATTGCTGTTACTAGAAGCTGCTGAGAAGTAAAGCACAAACAGAGAAAGAAGGAACTCCTCCTAGAGCCTCATACTGAATTTGTACTTCTATCCTCCAGATCTGTGAGAAAACAACATTTTGTTCTTTAAAGCCATCCAGTTGTGGTATTTCTGTTACAGCAGCACCAGGTAACTAAGAAAAAGATCCATAAGGTTTTGCTATCTGATTGGATTCCCTTCTTTTCTCTCTCTCTTTTTTTTCCTACCAGAATTTCATTAACTCTATTCCATATTATGGAAATCATAAGCTTCATGAGGTCAAAGACTGGGTCTGCCTTGTAACTCTTGCATTCATTCACTCTGTCATTCACTTATTCATTTATTCAGTGACTATTTTATTCAGCACCTAGCATAGGGAGTCCCTGGGTGGTGCAGTTACCATCCCGAATTGTTAACTGAGGTGTTGGAGGTTCTAGTTTACCTAGAAGCACCTCAGAGGAAGGAGCTGGGTATCTACTTCTGAAAAATCAGTCACTAAAAACCCTATGGAGCACAGTTCTACTCTAACACACACAGGGTTGCCATGATGGTTTGGTTTGGTTTA